TATTTCAGAATTTATTTGGGAGTATTCAGATACGGATTCGATATTTGTTTCAAGAAATCCGTATTTTACAAATCAAACGATTTATCGATATAAGGAAAGATTATTAGATAAAAATAATTCTCTGGATGAATTTAAGAAAATTTTTTTTAATTTAATTAACGATATGTTTTTTGAATCGTTTACACGATTTAAAGATTTTGAAAAAGAAATTAATACATGGATGAAAGAGGAAAATCCACATATAGTCATTGAATTTGAAAAATCAGGACTTCCAATATTTTATCAAGCAAAGAAAAAATATGCAATGTTGAAATATACTGAACCAAAATATTATTTTGATAATAGTTGGATTGATATTGAAGATAAGCAAATTGAAACTGATGAATATATATTATTATCACAATGTAAAAAATTTGATAATCTCTTGTTAAAAGGAGTTGATATAGTACGTAGAAACTCAACAAAGATATATAGAATTTTTATGAAAAAGTTGTTATATACTTTGTTTGATCTTAATAAATATATAGAATATATTTATGAATTAAAATTCATAAATATTGAACAATATTATATATTTATTAATGGACAAGATGAAAAAAATATATGGATGAAACACGTGTTTGAAAATATAACAGAAGAATTTATTAAATATCTGTATCAAAAGGAAATGGAATTAGATATGGAATTATTTGAAATGACAGGAAGAAACAATACTGAAAATGATGATGAGGAAATTTCGATAATTGAAATAACACAGACTAGTGCTTTTAAAACAAATAATTGGAAATATGAAAATGGAAAGATTATATTATATGAGAAAAAACAAAAGATAAATTTTAAAGATATTAATGAGGATGAAGAATGTGATAGTAATTGTGATAGTGATGAAGAAGAAAATGAAGAAGAATATGAATATGATGAAATTGATGATGGTTTAGTTATTAAAAATAGACTTGCAAAATTTTTAAAATATAATTTTGATAAGGGGATAATTGGATATGATAAAAATGATAAATTAGTATTATATGAGAATGATCAAGAGATATCAGATAAAGAATATAT